CCCGTTCGTTATATATTTTATATCTAATTCGTCTTAAATATATGATGCAGTTTGTGCTCTGGAGGAAATGTCAATTTTTGGACCAGTCGTACGTAACGCTGGTGGCAGCATGATATTTGTTATTTAGTAATATGTTTTAGGATACATTTTTACATTTGCCCTACCGAGGACTTGTTGATTGGTCTTTCTATTCGTGAGATATTGAGTATCTAATTTGTCATACAAATCTAATTTACTTTGGGCTATGTACGGAATGTCAATTTTCGGACCAGCTGTACATCGCACTGGTAGCAGTGACTACTTTGATATATTGTGAGACGTTTATGTATATATATTTACGTTTCCCAAAGGAGGGATGTATCGATTGACTTCTCTGTTAGGGGGATATAAGTAGTAATAGTCCGAGTAAATGATAATGCAATTTTAGGCACCAAATCAGGCACGAACTTTGACCCCAGACGATTACCGAACGTTACGCCTACGTACGCCTACGCCTTACCAAGGGGCCGCATGGAGACTGGAGACTGGAACCTACAGTTTAGTGACGTCAGAGTTTAACCTCCGTGGATCTCTCTCTTGATTGGTTATCACTACACCTACGCAGTCTACCTAAAGGATTGATTTTCAGGGGGACTCTCGTGAATGAGACGCTCCGATTGGTCGGTTAATATCACACTTGATATAAATTGAACGGGGTCCGGAAGCTAGACATTCGCGGTTCGCCATTCTTTGATTTCTTTAGAAATAATATTTCGGACTGTTTGCGGAGAGATATATCCGATTGAAATAGGCTACGCTAAAGAGTAAGTATCTATCATTTCACATATGTTTATGAAGGTCGAGAAATTAATCAATGTTGTAAAAATATAGCCTCATTGAACATTTTTTCAATATCGCATTCTAAGAAAATACTGTGAAGAAAATACTTTACCATTATTTGAGTTATTTTCAGTCATCTCAAAAGCGTTGCTAACATCTACGAGTGGACGTTTCCGGTATGTTATGCTTTTTCTTAAAAAGGATCGAATTTATATTTCACGCAGTTTTGACATTCTTACTTTTTTCTAGAAAAATATCAAATTGTAGCATACATCATGGGTTATTAATTACGGAATATTGATCAATTTCTCAACTATTTTTCCTATTAGGACAAAAGGTTTTGCAATTCTATGAATGAAGTTTTGTAAAAGTCAAGATACTGCAATAAGTCTGACCTTAGATTACATTACAAAGAATAAATACGCAAGGAGGTACTGCCCTCTAATATAATAAAAACTAACTAATCACTTTAAACAATATTAGATCACTTCAGGCAGCATCGAACGATCCCAGCCCGAGTTAGAGCACGGGCTCTATCAGAGTTGGTAGAGCCTATGGTTAGAATAAGCTGAAAAGTATTATTTAAAAGTTAACAACGAAGAATCAGATGGCAACCAATATCACTTTAAGATTTCAGAAACGCTTTCCCAAAAATCGAAAGTTTACTACACATGAAGGAACAACAGTTATTGAACCATTCATTCTGTATTAGTTAAATATCTACTGTATATCTCCCCTCACTTATAATTAATATGTATCTTGAAATTTAAAATATATTTTATCAACCTTTAATCTGAAGTTCCGGTTATTTATTTTGCTACCCACGGGCTACATCGCGCATTGTCATTTAAAATGCTTACCTAGAGGCGTAGAGCTTCACTGAAGTGTGCCTGTGAAGTGTTTTGCAACCATGAAAATTGCTAGCTCCCATCATTCACGAATGGCGCTGAACAATTTGATTTCTATATTTCTAACAATAGAACGGATATTTAAAAACATGATATATTTCCAAAACATCGTATGAATTTTCCATTAAAAATTAATGAAAATAATCATACCTTTAGTGTCCTGAATCCATTATATTATAAGCATCCTAATAAAATATAATCCGCGAATGGATTATGTTTATTAGGTGATCCACTTCTATCTCTATCCCGTTCCATTTAGTTCATAGCAAAACATACACTCGAAACGTAATATATAGTTTCAAAAAGTCATTTCCGCCAGACTTCCTATCCAATCAGAGCTTCTCATCTACATAAATCACCAAAACGACTTCCTCTAACACATGCTGGTTAATAAAAAAGTTTACTTCCGACTACTTACGCCCTTTCCAAAGTTTTGGAAACCGTATTAACATATATGTTAAATGGCACTTATGTTAAAAGTTTACTTCCAAAAACTCATAAAATCTCAATTTATTCATTCTGCTCGATGAAAATCCTGAGGAGTTGAATGGATAAAGTCAAATTTAAACGCGAAATCTATTTAACAGGTATGTAAGAAAATGATTCCAAATTTTGTGATTGGAGTGTATAGACTTATTCAAACTGACTTTTATTTTCCCCAGCCTGCAACTTAGAAATGTAAACAAAACTTCAACTTAACAGCTTATCAGCTTCAATTTCTGTTCAGTTGATGTCTGAAAGTACTGATACTTTTCTTTTTGGAGTCAAAACAAAAATGGGGGTTCCTAGCTTCCAATATAAACAAAAGCTTTTTAAAAACGCCATTGAAAAATCTTGAACACGATGACTGACTACACAATACACGTTTTTAAATGTTGAGATCTTAGTAGACTTATTTATATTTAATTTGAGCAAAATAACTCACTTGTTATTAATAGACTCCAGCACACCACACTTAGAGATTGTTCTATATTGTAATTTCATAAATCGCCTAAAATCTGTGTTTGAACATTGGCAACATCAAATCTTTATCCCAAAACAAGTGACATTGTTTCATAATCTAAAATGCCTCTTCTCACAATCACCGTCAGTTTTAAATTATAGAATAGAGAAACCGTGTCTAATAAATTGAAAGCTAATTGTAATCAAGTCAAATCATTAATGATAGAGTTCTATTTACTATATTCTATCTCTGTGGAATTAAGAGCAAGAACTGGAAATGTGGACATTTAGAAGTGACGTCACCCGCTTTGTATCAAAAGCAAGTTTATAGGTCAAGCTAACCAGTCCAAATGTCATATTGACTCTCTGATGATCATTGTGCTATATAGCTTACGCTTGTAACTTAGGCCTTAGAAGAAGAAGATTTGTTTTGCGTACAGGAAAAATCCAAATAGTGCAAGGGAACAATAGAATGGTGGAAATTAAAGTTCAATACTATTGAGAGTAAAATCACTTTATTGTTTACGATCGATTTAGTGCTTAGGTATTATATCTCAGTCTTAATTTGAGGTATGTTTTATGACGCTAGTGTAGTGTCGATATTGAGTGAGATCTTAACTCATTTAGCTTTAGAAATTGGATATGTTCGTTTAAAATGGTATGTTTGCGTTATGGATGTCTTTGTTTTATGTTTATGTTTGTTTTTACTCATAGCACGTGTGTCTTGGAGATTTCTTGAAGTCCCGTTCGTTGTTTTCTCTTTTGTTGTATATTGATGTAGGTTTGGCGCTATGTAACTATGTATACGGTGAATACATGGTAAATAAGTTAATTTTAATTAGTTGTTTGTTTATTAAGTATTAGTATAATATCAAGATGCAGCTACAGGTTTCACTACGCTAATTGGAAATTTGACATTTAGAAAAGTACTTCCCCTCAAGTACATATCACCTTCAGTCCACTGCGCATACAATAATACTAGCTGTAACATACACTTGGTTTCGGTATGGTTTCATTTTAAGTATTAAAAACAATATCCTATCCTATCAGAAAGGGTCTTTTTACAGTAGTTACACCTAAATATCTAAATTAAAAACTTGTTTTTTAGTGAAGAGGTATCCACGAATGCGTTCGCTTATGGTTACATTGACGCATTTCATTCAGTCGATCCATGGAAGCACAAGGGGTAAAATGAGTGAGCTTAGATTGCAGACAGACCCCATGTTTTCCCATTATCGCCCACTTGTAAATTTTTGAAGCGTTACCAGGGATTTGTTTTTAGTTTAATTAGGGGAATTGATTTGTGCAATTATTCGGTAAACATTAGAATATGGATTAGATCAAGGTGGTTGGTGTCATGTAAAAGGTGGATTGAACTGGATTGGATCCGGAATTCAAAATACAACATGAAATCATGAAATTTTAATTAACCACTTACTGAAATATTGTTGGAATTTTAATTAACCACTTACTAATTGTTGAAATATGAAAAATTGTCTGAAATATAACAGAAGATTTTTAATTTGAATAGAATATTATAAATTACCATGTCTAACAAACTAAATCATCACCAAATACCACAGTACTTTTGTTTTTATGGTTTATTTTGCTATTAATTACTTTCAATTAGGAAAATATATATGTGTAGAGAGCTTTTAAATCAAGCTTGTGCTTTTAAATCTTAAAGGCCCACTATGCTTAATTTAGAAGGAAAAAAAGATAAAATAATCATTAAATCAAGTTTTTTCACAGACTCAATAAAATATGATACAAAGCTTGATTTGCATTAATATTGAACCAAGAAAAATATCTCACCTAGAAAACAGCATTTGAAGTTAAGAGATCTTTAGTAGTGCGTGCGTTTTTAAATAAACCTTGATTTAAAAGATGGCGACACTTCTTCAAAAATGAATGAATCATGTACTTCAAACAACTTCGCCATCTTTCATTGACATTGGTAAAAGCTTGATATATGAAAACTTTCATAAAACAGTTCAAAACTATTTTTGATAATATATTGAAGCTTTGATGTGGTCCGTTTGGGCTGTTGTTGATGTCTTATGAAAGATAAAGTACTTGGCCATCCATTGGAAATCCTATGAAGTTCAAATATAAGACTTTGTGACAAAAATGTTAAAAATACGCAAAGTGAGGCTTTAATTTCATATTTCAAAATGTCTCGATCCAATCGACCTTTTACATGAAACCAACCAATATTTTTCGATATCAGTTAATATCAATTTCATTTCATTTTCAGAAAAAGATGAAGATCAGCCACGTTTGTCAATATTGCAACAAGAAATTCACAACTTTAGGATCCAAGAATAGACACGAAAAAGATATACATGGAAATATCACTTTTAGGTGTACTTCATGTGAGAAACAATATACTCGAAAACATCATTTGAAGCAGCACCATAATAAATGTAGTCAACCCACCACATCCACATCCGCCTCTATAGACGGTCAAATATTTGACCAGCTTGCAGCATCCGAAAATGATTTTAGAAAATTGTGTTTAGCATTGGGACTACCACCTCAGAATAATACACCATCCGCTGATGCAATCAAAGAAGTTGTCAATAAATTAATAATGAACATTGATTGTCAGGCTCCTGAACAGAACAACCAGGCTGGTGAAGGTGATGTAACTTCTCAACAGGGTGAAATTGAGGAACCTATGGAAGTTATTCAGGAGGAGCATGAACCCTATGAGAATGAAGATGGAACTGTTGACGAGGGACTTCGAAAAATTTACAAAGACAACCATCATATAATATATTCACCTCACAGACGAGGAAAAATCATTCGAGAATACAATTTCCATATCCCCTCTGGATCTCCTACTTTAGATGATTTTCATAAACAACTCAATGAAATTTACCAGGAACAAGTCACATCCTTCAAAATTAACCTGAGTTTAGCTATAGTTTTAGCTCACAGAGAAACTGGACAATTGAGATATTTCTACGCTCACAATAATGAAAGCATATTGCAGTCTCCTACCTTGATAACTGACAGAAGTGATATTGAGACCATCATGCAAAAATTGAGAGAGCTGAACTTAGCAGAGGAAATTTGGCGCCAACGTCCAGACACAAAATGGATTCCATATAGAGTCGTAAATACTAGATGGTCAGTGTATGGATTAGACTTTCCTTTGGGTACAGCCATTCTTCTTCCCGATTACATCCGAAAAAATAAAGCCATTGTCTCTTTGAATAAAAAACCATACAGAGCAGAACTTTACAAGGATAATTTATGCGCCTTTCGTTGTCTGGCGTACCACAAAACTAAAAGTATTGTCAAATTACATCCTCATGTGGATCCCCTTGTTCAAAAATGGAAGGAAGTAACAGAAAAACAGAGAATATGTGGCGTCACTTTGAAAGAAATGCCATTGTTCGAAGATACTTTCAAAATTAATATAAACATTCACAGTATAGATAAAGACAGAGTGGCTACAAAAATCTACACTAGCACCCTCAACCACAATGATACTATGAACCTTAACCAATATGACAAACATCTGAGCTATATCACTAACATGGGGATGTACAGCCGCAAGTACAGATGCCGCAATTGTGACAAACTATTTGACCGAACCACAAACCTAAAGAGACATGAAAGTAAGTGTAAAGAAGCGACAGCATTTAAATTTCCGGGAGGCTACTATAATTTAAACCCTTCTCTGTTTGAGAAGCTAGAGTCGAATGGGTATGATACGTCTAATGAAAATAGATTCTTCCCCTATTTCATCTGTTACGACTTTGAAGCTATGCTGTCCAAAGAAAATACTCCTGGTAACTCAAAAAAGTTAAAGTGGATAGCACACCATATCCCCATTTCTGTGTCTATTTGTAGCAATGTACCTGGATTCACAACTGCAAAATGTATCGTAGAGTCAGAACCTCACATTCTCATAGAGAAAATGATAAACTATTTGGCTGAAATTCAAGCCATAAGCACTTCTCTGGTTAAAGAAAAATATGAACATATATTGAACTCAATGAATGAGAGGATTGATTTGATTGAAGAAGATTTAGAAAAAGAAGGTACTGAGTCAGATTTGTTAGAAGAAGAGGATGAACAGATTTTGGAAAATGCACCTAAGACAAATCAGAAAAATCCGCTGAAAAAGGAACTGCTTCGACTTAACAAGGAGTTGCTAGAGTATATCAATCAAATTCCAGTTCTTGGCTTTAATTCATCACGATATGACCTCAACCTCATCAAAAAGAAAATAGTGTCAGCCATTGTTGCCAAGGATGATGATAAGATTGGTTTCGTCGTTAAAAAGGGAAATGCCTACAGTTGTATTTCGACATTGAAATACAAATTTTTGGATATCATGAATTACATCAGCCCTGGTACATCCTATGATGCCTTCCTACGTGCCTATGGAACGGATGTACGAAAATCATTCTTCCCGTATGAATGGTTTGATGAGGTTAAAAAGCTCGACCATGAAGAATTACCTCCCTTTGAGTCATTTTTTTCTCAATTGAAAGGGTGCAATGTTCTTGAGGGAGAGTTTTTATCATACCGAAAACTGATTGATGGTGGTAAAAGTCAAGATGATGCTCTGAAAGAGATGAAATTAAAAGCTGTTCCTAAGACTGGAGGAGAAAACTATGAAGACTTACAGCACATCTGGAGGGAACATAGAATGCAGACTTTTACGGATTTTTTGATTTATTACAACAATCTTGATGTAGAACCTTTTGTGCAAGCCATAGAAAATATGTTACCTTTTTACACAAATGAGGGGATTGACCTATTTAAAGAAACCATCAGTGTTCCTGGATGCGCTAGAAAATTACTCATGAAGAAGAAAAGCAAGGATTGCCACTTTAGTCTCTTCACGCCTAAATACAAAGATATTTACATGAAAATCAAAAACAATATTGTTGGTGGTCCTAGCATTATCTTCCACCGTTATCATAAAGCTGGAGAAACAAAACTGAGAGGTGAAAAAACGTGTCAGAAAATACTCGGGTATGATGCTAACGCGCTTTATCTTTGGTCCATCGATCAAGCTATGCCTACAGGACCATTTACGGTGCGGAGATCTGAATCAGGCTTCAAGAAAGAGAAACAAGACAAATATCTCTCCGAATGGTATTACCTCGAATGGATGAGCTACAAAGAAGGAAAAGACATCAAACATAAATTCAATGGAGGGCAGAAAAAAATTGGTCCGTACTACGTCGATGGAATATGTGGCAAAACTGTATACGAGTACAATGGCTGTTATTTCCATGCCCACAACTGCTGGAAAACTAAGAAGATAACAAATGAAAAATGGTTGAAAGAAGCCCCCTCTGTCCGTGAAAGGCATTTAAAGAGAAAGACGTATTTAGAAAAGAAAGGCTATATAGTGAAGGAGATGTACGAGTGTCATTTTGAAGCTGAACGAAAATACAATACAGAGTTTAAAGAATTTTTAAAGAAATTCAATAGACATTGTGATAACTTTACCACCATGACTGAGACTGAAATACTCAAAAAGGTGCAGACTGAACAACTATTCGGGATGGTTGAAGTTGACATTCACGTTCCCTCCCATCTGCACAATCATTTTTCAGAGATGTCTCCCTTATTTTGCACTACAGAGGTTCCCATGGATGTGATCGGTGAACATATGAAGGAGCATATAGAAAAGCATCAGCTCTCTGAAAAACCTAGAAAATTGTTGGTGGGTGGAATGAAGGCAGAAAAGATATTACTCGCTACCCCTCTTCTAAAATGGTACATCGATCACGGCCTAGTTGTTTCTAAAGTACATACCATCATAGAATATACAGCCAACAAATGTTTCTCAGCTTTCGTCAAAGCTGTTAGTGATGCCCTTAGAGAAGGGGACATGGACAAAGCTAAGAGTTGTATCGCAGATACGATGAAGTTGATAGGTAATTATAAGTTTGTTTTCTGATTTCAATGTCTAAAATCTGTAGTTTCGATTTCTGATTATTTCTTGTCTACAATTATTATATAATTCGATCAAATTATTTACAGGAAACAGCGCCTATGGAAGTGTGATAATGGATAAGATGAAACATCTTTTAATCAAATTCCTTTTCGAAGAGCACAAGGCGAGAATGACAATCAACAACAAGCGTTTTAGGAAAATGGAAGAAGTGGATGAGAGTGTTTTTGAATTTGAAATGGCGAAACCAAAGATCAATCTCGATCTTCCCAATCAGGTAGTATAATTTTATGTGTTAAATATGCTATTCTCATTTGAATGATTATATATTTCTAAATTTATAATTTTAATCAATTACTGTTTTACTTTCAGGTTGGTTTCTTCATCCTACAATATGCCAAATTGAGGATGCTTGCCTTCTACTACGACTTTTTAGATGTGTATGTCAACCGGGCTGATTTCCAACTGATTGAAATGGACACGGACAGGTGAGAATAAAATATTGAAAATGAAACATAATAAAAAGGAATTATAAGTATTGGTTAAATGAGATACTAATGTCTAAGCTTTTTATGTTTCAGTTGTTATTTTGGTTTATCTGAGACGAAGTTGGAAGATGCGGTGAAACCAAACAAAATGGCTGAATTCCACAAAGTGAAGGACAATTGGCTACCTAGGACAGATACCCCAGAGCACAAGGCCTATGACAAAAGAAAGCCTGGTCTATTCAAACTTGAATTTGAGGTAAACATTTGAAAAAATTATCTGATTATGTAAAAAAAAAAAAAAATAAATAAATAAAATAAAAAAAAAATAAATAAATAAATAAATAAATAAAAAAAATAAAAAAAAATTAAAATAAATAAAAATAATAAATAAAAAAAGTAATTGCAAAATTATATTTTTCAGGGAACTGAAATGGCTGCCTTGTGTTCAAAGACATACTGTGTATACGATGAAACCAAGGAATCCTCTAAGTTCAGCTGTAAGGGTATCAACAAAAGCAATTACAACAATCCCATGGATACATATACACGAGTACTGAACACTGGTGAACAAGAATCCTGTCAAAACATTGGTTTTAGACGTTTGAACAATTCAGTATTTACCTACACCCAGGAGAGAATAGGGTTCTCCTATTTTTACGCCAAGCGTAAAGTATTGAACGATGGTGTGAGTACTGAACCATTAGATCTCACATTAAGACCACCACAATAGCACTTGTATATGGACTTAGATATGGATTATGGTATTCATGTTTGAATGGAGTTGAGTATTAATTATTTTTTAAAATAGGACTTTTAAATCATATTATTTGAAGCTTGAAACAATAAGAGCATTTTTCAATTCCCGCAGACATTGTAAACTTCAGACGAATGTGAAATGTGTAATTGTTTAACTTACGCCACAATAATTAATAATAATGATTAAGAGTCACTTTTTAAGTCGAAGAAAAGACTTGAATTTTAATTATTTCAACAAGTAGGATGTTCAAATTATTCTTTTTAAATGTGCTTGACTTGTAAATTCTAAATGAAATCACTCTAGAACTGACCAGACCAAAGTCAATGTTAAATGAATGTAAAAATGCATTATGTTATGTCTTCAATTTTCTAATGAACAACAACTAAAGTCTTGTAATTCATATTTCATTTATTCTACACTTTCAAATTATATTTAAATACAGCTGTCAGTCACATAATTTTACAGATTATGATAATAAATGTAACATATTTATAATGTTTAACATGTTTAGTTTTTTCTGTTAGTCATTTATTTATACAGATTATGATAATAAATGTAACCCATTTAAAATGTACAAGAATTTTAGTTTTCTTTCATGATTTTTGGAAGAAACAGTTTAAGTAAAAGAAGAACTCCACGTGACTTTTTTAAAACTCTACCCCTTTTCTTGACCCAACCTTGATATTTATCTGAGAGAAATTCAAAAGTCGGTTTGTAGGATGACAGTTTTTGTTTTTCTTGTTCTGTCATAGGTATGTTTTCCAGACCAATGTTTAGAATGATTTCACATATAATTTTCAACTGTCCTAATGACATAGTTTTTAATAATGCCTTTCTCTGCTGCTTTGTAGTTTGTGATTGGGTGAGTAATGTCAGGTAGGCACTATGTATTTTCAAATCCGGATTCATGGTAAATTAACCCAGTGCTTTGATGTAGTCGTCTTCTTCCTTTTCAATGTGGGATAAGCAGAGATTCCAGGTGGCAGAAATCGTCTTATCTGTTTTTCAGCTCGATTGCTAGTTGGTACATCCAGTGATGACTTCGAAGATTGTTCACTACTTTTGGATCGAGATAATTGTTTCAATCGATCAATTTCTGTTTTCAAGGCCTTAATTTCTTCAGAAACAGTTTGATCGTTGGCAACTGTTGTATCTGCTTCAGCTTCTAAAGTGCTTTTATTTTGTTTAGATTCTCCTAAAAGCCTCATATATTTTTCATAGGGGATCATCACAGTTCGACGACTCATGTTTAAATGATATTTGTTCTCATCTTTCCTTATTTATAAACCACCATAGATAATAGGATCTTGACCTGGAAATATTTTAGTTCTCAGTCTAGTATCATCTCTACTATGCGGTGATACGTCGATTATTAAATAACCATACGGCAGAGATACAGCGTCAGCATATGCTTCCATCAAGACATTGGTCTTCCCTGGTGAGATCTGCTTGGCTAAATGCATAATTTGAGATTTATCCCTCAACGAACGAAACAGAATAATATACTGTGTGTTTAGGGTCATTGTCCGAATACCTTTCAGAAAAAGTTGTTGCGTAA